AGACGCCGTCGTTTCAAGAAAACTATAAATAACAGTGGGAATTTTCGCTTCACTTGTAAATGGAAGTGTGCATATCCTCAGTGAAAGAGTCTCCATCGCCTGCGGTGGTTCGGGTTCAGAAGCTTCGAGTGTGGGCGAGGACGGGGGAGGGAGGCGAGGCGGTGGTGCGACGGCGCAGGGAGCTGAAGAGGGTGGACCGAGAGTTGGAGAAGGGGAATTACAAGGCGGCGCTGTCCCTGGTGAAGCAGCTTAAGGCCAATCCCGCCGGCCTCCTCCGTGGTTTCGGCGCCGCCGCTGCCGCAAATGTACAGCAAATCTTTTTCTGATTTCGTTTTAGAAGAAGAAATCTTTTTCCCCATAGATTATATTATCGCTCGTTTATGCTTATAACAGGTGCAAGAGATTTGGAATTCATGGCACAGTCTGCAATATGAAAGTAGTATGTTAGGTTAAAATGTAATCCCCAGTTGTGAACCGAAACGCGCGAGTTCGGCTAGGCTCGTGAAGGCTCGAGCACATAAATAAGCCGACCTCAAGCTCGTTTAGTTAATGAGTCGAGACGTTAAAACTCAAAAAAAAATTGAATCTTTATGTAATTTTTTCTATAGTTCAGGTCATTAAGACTCGAGCTTAGTTCTTTAGTATTCATAAACGAGTAGTAGCTCAGCTCTGTAAAGGCTAGAACTCGACTTAATATTAATAAACGAGTCGAGCTCAAGGTCGTCTAATAGAACCTCATCTCGATAAAGGATAGAGTTCGGCTCCGCTTGTTTACACTCTACATACCTTAATGCATGCTAGTTGAATGAGTGGGTGAGCTTTGCGTTTACAATAATAAACGTGTTGTCAAATGTCGCCTATATGTTTTGTGTGCTCAAACAAGTGCAAGTCAAGTGTGCAATTTCAAGAAATGGCAGCCAACTTTAGCGACTATTGATAGAGAAAAAAGTCTTTTTTCGAGCGATGAGTGAAGGTAAATTTTTAATATTTATAAAACAATTCTTAGTTTGTAGGTATTGATTGATGTTGTAGGATCTTAGACGTGTATCGTCTTTGAACGAGTTGAAGTTAGCTGAGGAGACTGAAGTTTCACCTCTGCAGTTAGTAGTTGATGCTATCCTTCATTCTATCACAAGTAGCCTCGAGTTTCAGCTGCAAGAGGAAGAAGCAGAGGTATGTCAACAAACAACCATTTTCGAGCTTTCTTTCTGATTTTCTAACTTGGGAATATTCGTTGTGTAACCATACAAAATATTTCATGTTTTGAACATTTTGTAGGTATCCATACAAGATTTTGTGAAAGCAAAGGATGTCGCGAGTTATGACTCTATTCATGAAGATCATATGATGTGTATGCAAGTAAGTTTATATGTTTCATACCGTAACTTCTCTTTTGGCTTTTATTTTCTTCCAAAAGTGAACATTATCGAGATAATCAAGTGAAGTAAATAAACGAGGATGAAATGAAAAAAAAAAAATCAAGATAATCAAGATAAAGATATACTTCAAATTGGGTGTTTGAATTTTGGCTTTAATATTTTTCAGCACGAAGCTGGTCACTTTTTAGTTGGTTATATGATGGGTGTTTTACCCAGAAGGTACAAAGTACCTCGTGTAGAGGATCTATTGCATGACCCGTTTGCTCGTGGGAAGGTGGAGTTTGTTGGCTTTGAGTTTCTTAGAGATGTAAGTGTAGTCATCCCGTTTTTTGCTTTTGTCTGCTCATACAATAATTTGCTGAAGTATTAGCATCTTTGAGTTAGGTTTAAAACTGAAGTTCCATCGTCCAAAGTAGAACGTTAATAATGGGGCGATTTGTTGTACTACACTGCAGGCATTTATTGTGATCAATACCAGTTTGACGTAATAAATAACGAACATATTCGAACCACATAGATTTTTTTATTTTTTATTTTCGCAAATTTATAGGAGTTGTTCTTATTCCGTTGCTATTTTTTTTTTTTTTTGGATATAATATGATGTGCTGAATCGTTCAAGACTCGATGACAAAATCATCCTCGAGCGTTTTCTTTCAAAGTGTATGGAAATAGAACAAAAGAATGTGTTTCTAGGCCAATCTTAAGTCTTATCTAGCTAAAAAAAAAAATAGATTAGATAGTTAAAGTTGGTTTTTTCCAATTTGCATGGTTTTAAAGCCAAACAAGTTCAAATCACACAGGTTAGTGTGGACACCATGTCGAACAAAAACTTATCGAAAGGGAAGCCTAAAAGAGAGGTGAGATCTCATTTCTTAAGCCACTGTTCCATGTTTGGAACTGTTGCACTATGCTACAATATAACCATTTTCAAACATCCAAAATCTCGTTTCCAACAGACTTTGAGAAAATTCTCTATTGTGATACTCGGCGGCTTAGCAGCTGAGCATCTGCTGTTTGGGTACTCCGAGTTGCTCCACTCGGACGTTCAAAAGGTTATTTTTATTTCTCTTCATCTTTGGTATCGCTCTTTTTCAGGCATTTAGTTGGTGACATTTTCTAACCGGTGGCTTATCGATTGATTTGTGTGTGAAGCAGTTGTTCACAGTACTAAAGTGGGTTGGCCTGTCTGAAAAAGAAGCCGATTACGAAACTAGGCGAGCTGCAGAAGCTGCAGTCTTGATACTGCGTAGTCAGAGTGAAGCGCAGTCGAGGCTTGCTGAGGCCATGGCTTTAGGGAAATCAATCGGGTTTTGTATCAACACAATTGAGACAGCATTGAACATGAAACTACTAAGTACTCTCGATTAGTTTTTTAAGGTTTCATCAGTCTCGGTTAGTCTTCTAATGGCCCGTGCGATTCTCGATCAGTTGTAGGCGTTCTGGTATTTTTTTTTTTTTTTTGCAATCTTTGGAATTTAAAACCATATGGCTCAGTCAAAGTCAGGATTTGTTTGAACTGACCTTGAGAAGCACAAACCTTGAGACGCCCAAACCTCAATTAATGGTAATAATCCATTGACCAAGAAAACAAAGTTCTGCATGAGAAAAATATGAGAATAAAAAAGGTAATGTTCACTAGAATTGGCTTGTAAATTGTAATCACATCAAAACAATAACCCCCTTTAGAAATGGAGAATATTTCTAACGATGGGGCCCGCAACCTGAAGTGCCGAAGCGCTTCATTTGCATATTCCACAGTAGAATACAACATTGGGGAGATTGTAGACTTTCCGGTGGCTGCCACCGGCAATGGTGGCGGTGAGTGGCCGGGTTTCAAGAAAGGCGAGTCTTTTAATTCGGGAGTTTCAAAGAGCTGGTGCTTTAGTGATCCTGAGTTGATGAGGAAGAAAAGGATAGCTAGCTACAGAGTGTACACGGTCGAAGGCAAAGTGAAGGGGTCCATCAAGAAGAGCTTCAGGTGGATTAAAGAGAGGTATGCAAAGATTATGCATGGGGAATAGATAGGCAGTATTATTGTTGTTATTTTGATTGTTAAGTTCCCGTTCGACAGTTTATGTCGACAATCGTTCGGTTTTCTTCCAACTATTTTTGGATTCGATGCAACTTTGTGCAAGATTTGCTCAGTTTCAAAGGGAAATTTTCGAAAATTTGGATGATACGTGCAGAAGTTTGGATGAATACGTTGGCACTCGTCTAAACTTGTGAAATTGTTGAGGAAATCACTACTGATATCGACCTCTTACACAACCGAGCAACAATCGTCGTATCGTGTACGAGATGGACTCCCATCAATATGCTCATAAATGTATATGTGAAAAATAGTTGAAGAAATCACTAGTGATATATTGGTTTACAGATAAATTGGAGAAAACCGTTGAACCGTGAACCAGATGTATCTTTACCGATCCATACATCATATTACTGAAAACAGAATTACACAAAAGGGATGAATGTTGATATGTGTTACAATTCTGTCTGGAATCGAAATATTCTGAACAGGTAAATAATTTTGTAAGAAGGGCCATCCTTACAGCGGCCAATTAACGTTCCCCAACATGGGGCAGAAATAAGCCAAGTACCGATGAACAAAGGGTACTTGGAACAGAAGACACGATACATGGAATAAAAGACTCACGCTACACAACTCGAGTAAACTAGTGCAGCTTCAAACCACCACATAAACCCCACGAGTTTTATCAATTATCTTACCCTCATAACCACAAATGCCAAACAAACTGGTACTTTCTTGAAACCCAAATTCACAACTTCCTCCATACAGAAATTTCCCCATGGCACGTGCCGTTAACTTCCTCTTTGTTGTCGCAATTTGATGATATTTATACAGGAACGTGATAAACAAAAGCATGTATGTATGTATTCAGTGAAACCTTTCTTCGTCATCAAAACGCAAACTCTCAATACCCTTTATGGCCGAGTCATAATTTTTTATGCCAGCGTTGTTCCTACCCAAAGAAGTGTGCTTTGGGTCGGATGAACCACCGAGAGGTGAGGTTCTTTGGCCGGTTGAGATTTTGTTTGTAGTAGCTGGGCTGGCCTCAGGGGTGCGTGAACGAGTTGGATCAGAATCATTGCCCAAAGTGAAAGTTTCTCGACTTCCAGAAACTGCAGGCCGCCTTAGTGATCCACTGGACCTTCCAAAGAAACTGGAACTGGAAAGCTGCAAAACTTTTACGAGTCAGTCAACAATTTTTTAGGTTAAAAATTGTAAAAACGTGCAACACGTACTCTCCGAATAATTTCGCTGAAATATGATATTTTAATTATTGACGGTTACAAAAATCAGCATATTTTGGAATATAGTCTTAATGATCCTCATGATATACCAATTTTCAATACTGTAATGCACCCTTTCTGCAGAATGCAGATTCAATCTAGTTTCTAAAAGGAAACCAATATAATTGGAGTTGCATGACTATTTGCCTTTGACCTTTTCCGGATCGGATTATATGCTAGTTGATGACAATTCTCGGACACCTTTCAGGATAACCATTTAATGAGTCGAAAATATATCACAAGGAAACCCATAAAACTTGGGGTCACGGCACCGAGTATTCAAAACCAGATTCCAAAAGCCTCTCCACAGTATTACAAAGAATATCGATGCTTCTAATCAATGCAAATTGTGACTAAATTCACAGCTAACCATAGCATCCTTGCTAGCTGAATCATTTGCAGCTGGACTTTTTTGTCTGGATAAGCTCCCAGCATTAATAAGTTGTCCTGAACCTCTTCTTCTAGAAGGATCTGCTGAAGATGTGCCTACCTGTCTCCCCTCTTCTTCACCTGCGTTAATGTGAACTGAGAAGCATCTTAAGATCACATATATAACAAAAGTTTTACTGGAGGGGTGAGGTAAAGGAGTGCTTTTAGACCCATGATGGGTGGAAAAATTAGTTACAATAAGAAGCTACTATGTACTCACAGGACTAATTATTAAATTTGATAAGCACTTAATTGAAAACAAGTAAAGGCAAATGAGCACTCATAGGAAAATACCTGGCGGTCGCTCACCACTGGGAATTGCAGGGGGGAGTCCTGAGCTTGTACCAGCATTTGGGCCCTGAAACAAAATTACAACAAATTATATAATTGGAAAATGATGCTTCGAAAAACATCCCAGGTTCAACCACTTACAAGAGTGCGTGAAGGAGGAGTGGCCATCTGAGACTGCTGGTACTTCAAAATAGTCCAGTCAAATACATAGTCAAATTGGAAACCTGGAATGGAAATAACATGGCATAGAGTTTTTATTCAGAGAATTTTGAGCTCAATGAATTGGATCCCAGAGACAGCTTTTAGTGAAACTACCATAGTAATTAAGCAAATATCCATACCTTCACGGATGAAGAGATCACGGAATATCCTCTTAAGATAAGCATAATCTGGTTTGTCTTCAAAACGCAGCGAACGACAATAATGGAAATACGAAGCAAATTCAGTGGGATAACCTCGGCACAGTGCCTGCATTTAAACCCAGCCATTAAAAATACATACACATAGAGTACGTACATCCAACCATATTTTTTGAGGATGAAATTACCTCAATAGAAGTTGACACCTTTTTCTCACTTATCTTCTCATATTTCTGTTTTTTGGTCCCTGCTTTTAGTCCCTGCCATGGTAGGCTGTGGAGCAGAGATGTCAAACCATAGAATGCAATAACCAATATGATATTAGGGTCTAAAATATTTCAAAATTACCTTCCTTTTAAAAAGTACATCAAGACAAACCCAAGAGATTCTAAATCATCCCTCCTGCTTTGTTCTACAAAAAAAATCATTGCATACAAGTTATATTCAACTAATAAGACTAAAGAGTAATAGGTCAATATGGAAACATGGAAAAAAAGAAACTGACCAACCTATGCCCAGGTGAGTATTCATACTGGCATATCGCGCTGTCCCTGTCAGGTTTTTGTTCTCCCTGAAGGTTACAAATATATAGATTAAAATTAAACCAACTAAGCGTACTCAGAAGTACCATATACTCGAGAAGTTAAAAGGAGAAGGATTAAGATCATAAACTTATACATAAGCAATGGACAAGAGCCAAAAAAATTTCTACTCATAAGATACCCATTCCAAATTAAAACAACTTAACCTACAAGAATGTGTGAAAGAATAAGTAAATGCTCTATCAATATACCATTACAAGCCCTACCAACAATAACACACGAATCTATGGCCCTGATATCTCCTCCATCAAAACTGAAAATGTCCTTTCCATTACTATCATCAATCTACTAACTAAATTTTCGAAAGATGACAAATCAGAATTCCAAAATTATCTTTCAATATTCTCTGATAATTTTGGGTTTTAATTCCAAAATTACCTTTCCATTACGTAATTTCTTTTAATAATTTTCCTTTAAAAATCATGTATGGCATGGCTTTGATATTACGAAGACAATATCATTATATGAAGCATAAGAGCTATTATAGGAATCTTGCTTGTTTACAGTACACCACAACTCTTGAGCGTCAACTTAATCTCTCTACTGGGAAGTCATCAAAAGTTAGAACATATGCTAAGACTTCCCACAAGACAGCAGCAAGTTTTTCTGAACATAATTGAATCCAAATAATTCATTATTAAAAGTATGCATCATGCGGAAATGAAAAGTGCACAAACAAATCATTCCCATAAACACAACAAATGACAACTTAGGCACAAATGAAAAGTGCATTGATCCTTCCAGGATTTTCATTTACGCTGTTATCGCTGGTAATGAAATGATACCTATAAACAAAGTATAATATGCTCATCTCACCTATAAGGAATATGTTGGTGAGT